CCCCAAAACCCCAAAACCCCAAAACCCCAAAACCCCGCAGAAGAGCTTAAAAATTGAAATAGGCTTTAGAATACCAGCTTTTTTAGTACAGCATCATCATGAAGCTCAGGATTCTCTTCGTAATCAGTAGCCTTGATAGTCATATCATCGAAGGTAGATAAGCTGGCTATCATTGAGCCACCTACCCATGCTGAGTGTCTTCTTGGTAAATCTATGTCTATTTTAATGTCAGTTCTGGCAGTATGAGCTGCTAACTCATACAGATCTTGCTCGAATCTATCTTTAAATCCAGGAAGCAGAGAAGTACCTCCAGTCAAGATTATGTTGTTGAATAATGTAATTTGAAGATCCTGATCTCACTTGTAAATAGAATCATAAGCTATTTGAGGAATACTTGGAATATCACACCCAATAATCTCAGGGTTGAATAAGAGCTCAGTTGCATTAAAGCGAATTTTATGATCAACTTTTATAATTCCTTTATCATCTGGAAGTTCATAAAGTCACGATTCCTCTCTTAATGGATCTGAAGAATTAATAGCTCTGTCATAATCTAAGGCTACTGAACACATTTGCTCTTTAATCTTTCTTATGTGGTTGATGTTACTATTGTCCACTTCGATTCCTTGGGCCATGAGACTATCTAATAAGTTGAATGTCACATCTTCTCCTGCTAAATTGATAGATTTAATGGCATGTGGGAGGGCATATCCCTCAAAGATAGGTACAGCAGTGGTAATTCCTTGCCCTGATTCAACTACTATTCCGCTTGTTCTTCCACTTGCGAAAAGAGACAAAACAGAGCTATTCATGATATTTAAGGAATCAATTGCAATGTTGTGATCTTTAAGCTTGTCAAACAGATACTCTGCCATTTTTATCTTATTATCCTTATGATTAAGAGGAGAATCAGTAATCAACAAATTGCATTTCTTCTGATTGTGCATATTTTTGTGAGACAAAAGATGGTGCCAGCAATACTTCATTGTATCAAAATCTTCAATCACTCCTCTTTTGATAGGATAAGTGATATCATACTCATGACTATTATCTTGTGCTCTCTCTCCATAAATTCTGCTGTACTTCTTTCCTCCTTGGTCATTAGTTTGGGAAGGTTCTATAATAATCTCTTTCACCCCCATAACAGTGGGGATACTGACTCTGGGAAGATCTTCTCCTGAAAACCCACACTTGATAAACCCTGTTCCGTTATCAATGACAACAAATTCCTTCTGATCCACAAATGTCTGCATCGAGTTTAGTTTATCTTCAATAGTGGGAGGAAGATTCTTATGTTCTTCCTCTAAATCATCTTGATTCATTCAATTTAAATTTATTTCAAATCAATTTTATAATTTTATCTGGGGTTTTGGGGTTTTGGGGTTTTGGGGTTTTGGGG